AATGTAGAGTGAGAAAAAGGGAGGAAAATGTAAGGAAGTTTCCATGGGAGAAATGGTAGAGATTTAATAGGAGATAAAGGTAGAAAGCACTTCTGGAATGCTTACACAGGGACTTGCGTTTATTGTGAAAACTATGAAGAGCTATTGAAGAATTATTAGCAGTCGTTTAATAAGTTAGCTCTTTCCTCAATGCGAATTCTAAGATGGGGCATTTGAAAGAAAATCCAAGTGAGTTGTTTAAGTTCAACAATAGATAATAACTGTAGGTTGTGAGTACATTCATGAGGGTTCGTAAATGAAGATGCATATTGTATGCTAGTGTGTCTGGTAATGGGTTCACATATGCATTTATTTACTTTGTAAGGGGGTGACCATGGACAAGTCATTTAAATGCTATGTGTCTTATGGTCACATCAACAAAAGATGGGTGATAATAGCACCACTTTCTAGGAATGTTGTAAAGTATTGGGTGTTGGCCGTGTGTCTAAATTTTGTTTTTATCTCTACTATAGTAGCAAATGATTCTCATCACTTTGTTATACAACATGTACATAAATTTTATAGTGCATAGAAAATGGTCAATATATAATAGCTTTCATTAGGTAGTAATAACAGAAAATTTATCAATAGAATGTTGGAGATGAAAAAAGTCATTTCATTGTTTTCGTTCTGTATAATTAGGATCATTGTGAGGACTTGATTCGTAACAGTTACAGCAAACACTGGTTTATCAATATGGGACACGTGGTTTTAGGAGCAGGAGTAAATCCAGAAGGAGGAGAAGTTCAATCATGCTTGTCTGGACGTGCTGAGGTACTGCTCGGGCTTCGTGTAAGTGCTATCTGTGAGGTAGATGCTGTCCATCCAGCCCACAAGGGTGGACATGAGTTGAGTCAGCCATTTCAGTGCATACCAAGGAAAGAAGACAAATACTGCTTCAGGAAGTCTGGCAGTGATGTGAAGTAGCAAAGATCTTGAAGGTGAAGCATAGCCAAAAAATAGTTCTATCAGATTAGGTGTAAGAGTTAATGGGAAAGTAAAATATAAAAGAGAGAAAGGAAATTTCTCCTTGGGAAATACCAGGGTTTACAGAGATACATTTGCCAACTTGTCTTTATGAGTAATTCTATGGTTTTTGCCATTTCTTTAATCACAATTATTCTATTGCCCTTAAAAATTATGTTTTCCTCTTCATTATCTTGAATCTCACTCCACTGAAGCACCAAATTACGGTTTTCAAAGTCCCATAAAAATTAAATGATTCTAAATCTTTTTTTTTAAATAAAATCTAACAGTGAAATAATTCATGAATACTGATTTTGAATTTCTTCTGCTTAGTACAGTAGTAAATATAGTCATTTCAAAAGTTTTTGTAATCATTGGCAATACACAGGATAAGATTTCCATTTTAAGATCATTTCTTTCTTTCTTTCTTTTTTTTTTAGATCTATTTGACAGGAGGGATAGAGGGAAAAAAGAGGTTTCCTATCTGTTGGTTCACTGCTCACATGCCTGCAATGGCAAGGGTAGGCCATCTGGAAGCCAGAAGCCTGGATCTCAACCCAGGTCTCTCATGTGGGTGGCAGGGACTCAGTGTACTTGAGCCATTGTCTGCATTAGCAGGGAGCTGGTGTCAGAACAAGGAGCAGGAATTGAATTCACTGCTATGGAACATGGCATTGTGATTGCTAGCCTAAGTGACCACCCCTGTAGATCATTTATCATGATCTGATGGTTGATATGTTTACTTAGAATCAAAGTATGCAACTTAGAATTGACTTTAAGTATTTATTGATATGAGACCATTTCATTTGACTGATAGAACAGGATAAACTTTGAAGATGATGATTGACCTAAGGGTTCTCTCCTAGAGCAAAAATCGTTTCTACAACTAGTAGCAAGTAAAAACTTAGGAATTCTTCAGAAAAGGAATTTCTTGATAATGTAGTTAAGATATCTCGTCTCCTGAGTTTATGCTGCTCAGGTGAAAGTGATAACATGGGATCCTCAGCTATGTGGACTCTTAATGACTAAATCCTTTCAAAAGTTCTTTCTGACTTATCAGGAATGATTCTGCTAAGTTTTAAAAGTGGCATTGAAAAATGGTATAAATTATAAGTTAAATATTAAGTGTGGGCTCCTTAAAGGGGTTGTCTGGAATCCTGTACACCAGTGGTAGCAACCAAGGCACAGTCACAACTGAAAAAGATCCTTCCCCATGTGCTAATTTAATCTTGTAGTTCAATTACTATAACTCCACTTTTCTTAAATATGTTGTACCCATTTAAAATAAAAGCACCTTATGTCTTTATAAATCATAGTGAAATAGAAGTCTTAGACTTGAGTTCTAGCAAAAAACCACAGTGTGATCTTGGGCAGACCATTGAAAATCTCCACACTTTTGTTTTCTTGTTTTCATTCAGTCAAGGGCTCTCAAAATAGCCACAGCTCTAAAGGTATGATTCACACCTTTATTGATAAAAATATTCAAAATTATGTTTCATTGTAATTACAGGAAGAAGGCAAGAAGGTGACACGAAAACCATGGATTTGAGGAAGATGGGACAACAGGACCACTAAACTGAGAGGAAAGAGTAGATCCTCCCAGTAGAGCCAGGAGAAGAATTTGACAACTATTGCTGGTAAAACACTAATAAAAGGAGCCATCACTCCTCACATTAATCCTATTAATAATTTTAAGCCTTTAAGCCAATCCTATAGGATCTTTTAATTTTTCTGAAGATCAATACATAATTGAATTCTGAAAAATGAAGTCCTGTGGATAGAAGCATCTCATGGTCAATAAAATGCCAAAATCTTATTAGTTCTACTAATGAATTTCAATTTCAGTATTCCACCTACCTCCTTCATCACTTGAAGAGATTCAGCAATTTTCAGAGAAAGTGAAATAGAGATTTCCTTTTATTTGCACTCTCTCAAAGCATGGCATTTCCAAGAGTATAACATTTATATGAATTGCCCTCTAGTCAACCACTTAATTAAGAGCCGGTTATGAAAGTGACCGGATGCAGATGTAGCGATCTTGGAATAGCTGAACTGTGTGTTGAGGACTGAGACTTTTATAGTCTCACAAGTTCTCCATTGGCCACTAGAGAAAACTCACGGAGTGTCCCATCCTGCGGGACGTCAACTAGGGCCGAGCACCTAGAAGGAGAAATGAAGGGACAGGAGACACAAAGATGGCAGCAAGACAAGGGTCCTGATCAAGCTGCAAATTTTATTTTTCAACCACACACTTATATATCATAAAGGCAGGGTGTCGGGCGGGGGAAGGAGGGGCGTTTAGGAGGGCAGTACGTTGGGCAGGGGAAGGTGGGGGAGCTTATCTTGTAGCTGCAATGCTTGTGCAAGTAGGGGAAAGGTTACAAGGTCTTAAGGCACAAGGTCACACAAGGTTGCGTTATCAGTGCTCTCTGGCCTGGGCTGTCTAGCCCTGCCTCAGTAGTTTTCCACTAAGAGGCCACATGCTGCGTGGTCCCTGACAACGGAGTCTTCCCGAGTGAGGGGATGTTGCCACTGTGTCTTGGTCCATTGAATATTTTTATTATCTTCCTGATTCTAGGGATGATTTTCAAAGAAACATAGTAGAACAAGATATACTTACAAAATTGATAACCAGTTGGGTTTATAATACAGTAAATAATTATGCTTACATTTTTTAAAAGAAGATAGCTCAGATCATTGATGTTCCATTTGTGAAGAAAATATAGAAAAGTACTTTGAATAATAGGAATAAAATCTCACTTCATATTACTTATAATAATTTTGTTTTCTAGTTGTAGTAACCATAAAGTGTTAAAAAGTGAGCTGGGTCACCAAAATTAGTTTCCTAAATCTTCAAGAGCTACATCCAAGCAGTGTCTGTGTTTCTTGACCACCAGGCTAAGTTTTATTTGAAAGACATCTATCATCTTCTTTGTCCTAAGCACCCAATCATAAGTGCAGGTACATTAAATAAGGGTTTGAGATCTCAGTTGGGGTATCTTCCTCTAGGAAATAATTCTCTTCAAATACTTTTAGAATTGTAGATGCTTTTTTTGTACAGTGTATCAAGAAAAGCACTGAGGAAGACTTCAAGGGTAATAGAGTTGCCATATTAAAAAACTGAAACTTAAGAGAGTGGCACAGTGGTTAAGTCACTAGATAGGATGCCTGAGTCCCAGATCTGAGCTCCAGAAGTCGAGCCTTGGCTCATGTTCCTGCTAATGCAGACTCTGAGAAGCAGCAGTGAGAGCCTAAGTGGCTGGGTCCTTCACCTGTGCGGGAATTCCTGGCTCCTGGCTCGAGCCTGGCCTAGTCCAGGCCACTGTGGGCATTTGGGGGAGTGCATTTGTAGGTGAGAGCTCTTGTTCTCTTTGCCTCTCACTATGTCTTAAATAAATACAATTTAAAAAAAGTAGAGCATACACACGTTTTGCATGATGCAAAATTTTCGTGTGTATTTGTAAAGTAACATTGTATACGACACATTAATAGTTTGAAGCAATGGGTAAGATTTGCAATATAGTGTTGCTCTTATTGTTTATCTAAAAGTATGATTAGGATGAGAACCCTTTCTTTCTTTATTTTAATGTCTGCTGTTTTATAAGCCTATATTTTATCCATTGGATCCACATAATTTCTATAAGAAATATTTATTACTCTCAGTGATGCCTATTATCAGTATAAAGATACTGCCAAATAAAATGAAATCATAAATATAGTTATACAAATATGACATAATCACATTAAAAATAAATACAATCATTGATGGTAAATACAATTTAGGTCTGCAACTTAGAGCTACATAACACTTTCTTAGGTTGAATACAAAACTGCTGCAACTCCATCTGAAATGAAATTCTCGAATATCTCCTTTTCTGCAAATTCCTGTTTTTTTTTTTTTTTTTTTTTTTTTTTTTTTTTTTTTTTTTTTTAAGGCAATGATATTATTTATGTAGTCTAATGTGTTCCTGGTAGTCATGGGCCCATGAAATTCATTCGGAGCTCTTGTCAAAGAAATCTATTATGTCATCTCCATAGAACTTGCAACTTGTTGACTCAGCCTTCTCATTGCCAACTTCATATCTTTGTTCCTTAAAGTATAGATGGCAGGATTTAAGACAGGGGTAACAACAAAGTCCACAATGGCAAAAAATTTATCCAATGACTTAGTAGGGAAAGGCCAAACATAGAGAAACATGCATGGAGCAAAAAACAACACCACTGCAGTGATGTGAGCAGACAAAGTGAAGAACGCTTTGGATAAATCATTGGAAGAATTTTGTCTGACAGTGACCAGAATAAAAATATATGATACAATTAGGAGAAAGAAAGTACCCATAGAGATGAAGCCGCTATTGGCAGTGACCACGAATTCTAGCCTGTAAGTGTCCATGCATGCAAGTTTAATAACTCTTGGAAAATCACAATAAAAACTTCCCACATTGTTAGGGCCACAGAAGGGTAAATTTATAACAAAAACAAACTGAGACACAGCATGAATTACCCCAATAACCCAAGCAGTTACTATCAAAAGCACACACATTTTGGGATTCATGATAGTTAGATAGTAAAGAGGCTTGCAAATTGCTGTGTATCTGTCATATGCCATGGCTATGAGCAGCAGCATCTCAACTCCTCCCATGACATGAATAAAGAACATTTGTATCATGCAGCTACGGAAGGAGATGACTTTACAATCACTAAAGATATCCGAGATAATCCTAGGAACTGTGGTGGAGGAAAGACCCACGTCCATGAGTGACAGGTTGGCCAGCAGGACATACATGGGCGAGTGCAAGTGCGGGTCCAAGAGAACTGTGAGCACAATGAGAAGATTTCCTAGGATAATTCCCACAAAGAACAGTAACAGGAAGAGAAAAAGGACAAGCCGCGCTCCCAAGGATTGTGCAAGTCCCAGCAACACAAATTCAGTTACCACAGTGTCGTTTACTTGGTCCATTGACTTGGAAAGAAGGGAACACTGACCTGATCTGAAAGACAAGGAAAGAAACAGTTTAGAGGCACTGAAAATGATTTATTAAATGCTGACGATTTGAAATTTATCATTAACAAATATTTCATTTATTTCAGAGTTGACTTACAAGATAGTAGACGCAGGGTTATAAAAGATTTATGTAGGACAGAGAGCACTGTATTCAAAGCTGACCGATTTTAAACACTTTTGTTCTATCAAATACATGAACTTATGAGACAAGTTAGGAAGTTAGGAAAGAATGCAAAAAATAAACTCAAAGAATTAAGGTGGACATTAAGGATAAAGATTAAAAACAAAAACAAATGAATATAGGATGTCAAAACTGGAAGACTGTATATGAGCATATAAAATGATTTTCAAAAACATTATTTTAAGATGTAATCAAGTGTAATGAAATTAATAAAATTGTAAGTGAGAATATATATGCATGACAAATGTTAAGAGCTCTCTGCAGTCTGTTTTCTCTATGTGACTACAACAATGTTCCCCAAACTAACGCCTAAATCATGCTGTACTTGAATTTGAAATGCTAAGGAGAGACAAAAGTGGGATATGTTCAAATTTAAATAAGTTTCAACTATTCGATAAAGTCAGGTAAATAAACCAATGATATAAAGAGAATTGAGAAGTGTAGGGAACACACCTGTGAGTGTGTCATACATATGTATACATGTGTGAGCGTTAAGGAGGTGAAATGTTAATAACCAGGAGTTGATCAGTACACATTCTAATCATGCACTGAGACACACTGCTCCCATAAGTATGGAGAATTACTATGTAGTAAAAATTAAAGAAGAACGTTTAAGGAAATGGGACTGCCAACTCCCCTGATTTGGTCGTCATACATCACACGTTTATGTTGAACCATCACACCATTCGCCACAGATATGTACAATTAATTAACAGCTCAAAAATCTAAAAATGACATTTAATACTCTCATTTTCCTATCAAATTAACAGAAAGTTTTGCAAATGTTATCATCAAAAGTAACAAAGACTCAAGGAAATATGAACTTCCATATATTGCTGGAGGATATGTGAACTTATTTAAATATAAAAACATTTTGCAGTTATGCATTAAAAATCTTATATTTGGGTCTTTTGGTCCAATAATATTTCTCTGGAATTCTCTTTGTTTTAAAAAAATGAGTTCAGCATAAAAATGTCACATTTTATTGGCAGTGATAAAATCTTGAAATAATTTAAATACCAAATACTAGATACTAGTTTATTATAATATATGCACACGGACTAAAATACAGTTATGAAAATTAATATTGATGAAAAAATTTACAATAGTATTAGTAAGACATTTATTAAAATATTAAGTACAATAAAGTTCAATAAATAGCATCATACAACATTTAAATGACAGCAGTTGCTTTTGATGTTTTAGGGTTTTCTAATCTCACTTCAGATTTTGAAATATTTTCTCAGTATATGTATTTTACTTATATTAGATTTTCTGGATGAAACATCAAATGACATGAAAATCTGAAAGAATAAGTGGTGAGTTAAAATTGAAAACCAGGAGTGACTCATAATTATGAGTACAAACCATCTGAAGAAATAAAAGGCTACAATATTCCTTTCATCTAGAAACTTTCTCATGGCTGAGTTTATCAAGTAGGAAGAGTTGATACGGGTTCTGAGGAAACTTTTTTGGACTTTGTGTAAAATGATCATGGAACTTTGGGATATCCCAGCCAGACAACAACTGACAAAGCATCTCCCCTGCTTTATTTTCACCAGGGTTGGCCAAACTGAATGAATGTTGGTAATCATGAACTAATAATAAGGGAAATAGATTTTTTGATTCTCTCATCAGAAACAAAATTGTGCCCCACAAATATATAGGGAAATTACATTCAACACTATTCCTGCGTAAGTTTCCACTGCCTGGTGTTAAATCAGTTATATAGGTTTTTTATATACGAGTACATATTTTTATATAGGAGTATATATTTTTTTACTCATATATATATGAGTAAAGCCCCCACCCTTTCTGTCAAAAACTTCTGGAATAATTATATATTATTGATGAAATCCTGATGACTCAAGAAAGCTTGTCTGGTGAGAGAGAGCCATGTGTTTGGCACCTCTGCCTTCTTAGGAAACACTGGGGGCCAGTGACACGCCTAGGATTCTTCAGAGGCCACATCCACACAGAATTCGTCATCTTTCCTTTTGGAGATTTAAAATTCGTACCTGGGGAGACACATCTTCAAAAAGCAAATGAAACACACATTAAATAAAAGTAAAATAAGAATTATAGCTTTGTATAGATGTGTTAAGGAAATTTGGTATCAACTCACCCAAGTCACTTTATTCTACAAGTAGAGAAACAACCCAGTGTGGTTCAGGGTCTAGCCAGTGTGCTGATGGTAATACATCTCAAAGCCAGAACCAGACATCAGAATTTCTAAATTCCCATCTCTTGGTTTTCAGCAATAATTCTTTACATCTGTTTAGTCCAATAGTCATGAGCAAATCAGAACTCCTTATGCTTCGTAGGAACTCTCCATCCTGTTGCAAAGGCCTCTTACTCCTTGAATTCTGGTTTTGTTTAAAATTATCCTTCCCTTTCGAGAGGACTGTTTCTTCTCCTCCTCTGAGCACTGCACTTCCCAATTCTACTCTTGTTTCTTCAGCTTGATCAGTCCTTGAATGATTTCATTTCAGAACTCATAGCTGCCCCTCCATACCATGCCCTGGAAGAAGAGAAGAGTACCCAATCAGCACACTATCTTACTCTAGGCATTGCCTAGAGCTTTCAAATGTGCAAGGAATGTTGCGGGGGGTAGAGAGAGAGAGAGAGAGAGAGACCCCAGATTATTGGAGGTCAATGTTTGAGATTATGTTCCTCTGGTTTAAGAAATAATCTGGTCCTCAAGTAGGGTGGAAATAGCTGAAACCAGCTGTCTGCTTTGCGCAGTAGAAAATGAAGTTTACTATGTTTTGGAGAGTGCAAAAGTAAGAAACACACAGATCCTGAAAAATCTTCACACCAAGGAGACAAATGGAAAACATAAAAGAAGGGTATACACAGAATTAATTTTCTATGGTAAAACATATTTCAGTGATTGAAATTTGGAAAACAGGAGAGAGATGATATGGAATGAAGTGACAAAAACATTGCTGGAAGGAGAAAATCCTGACAAAAATATTTCATGGAAGGGCATAATTCAGAGTGAGATCAAAGGAATAAACAAAGGGAAGTAACCAGGGTAGGGCTACTTTTGCAATTGAAAGCATCCCTCTTACCTATCTGCTCAGGCATTGGATGTGCCTCTTTTGGAGGAGAAATTTGGATAGCTTAGTTTTAATTTCTGCAAATAAAGCTCCCAACAACAAAGCTATATATAAATTTCTGCATAATGGGAATGAAGCTAATTAGCGACTCTGATGTTACTGAGATGGCCAATACCCAGATCATTACTAGTTTCTCTTGGGGACTACAACTTTGGGTCACGATGGTTTCCTCAAGAGAAAAATAGCAGAAGAATTGCCTGGTGATGAGACAGAGGTGAGGAGGAAATTTCATGGTAATATGTTGGCTAATATAAAGTAATCCCTTTTTAGAGTAGAAAATCTTGGAATGTTTGAGATGAGAGAAGGAAAATATATCCAGGGTGGACAGCCATCCCTTCACTTGTGTTAGTCTGAATAAAGTTGAAGGAACAAAGCTCAAACCGCTGTCTGTAGACACAGTGTATGTAGTTAATAACAGAATAAATTCATCTTTCTCCTGCTTTCAAATAATGAATGCTTGCTTTTTTTTTTTTTTTTTTTGACAGGCAGAGTGGACAGTGAGAGAGAGAGACAGGGAGAAAGGTCTTCCTTTGCCGTTGCTTCACCCTCCAATGGCCGCCGCAGCTGGCGCACTGCGGCTGGTGCACCGGGCTGATCCGATGGCAGGAGCCAGGTACTTCTCCTGGTCTCCCATGGGGTGTAGGGCCCAAGCACTTGGGCCATCCTCCACTGCACTCCCTGGCCACAGCAGAGAGCTGGCCTAGAAGAGGGGCAACCGGGACAGAATCTGGTGCCCCGACTGGGACTAGAACCCGGTGTGCTGGCGCCGCAAGGCGGAGGATTAGCTTAGTGAGCTGCAGCGCCGGCAGAATACTTGCTTTTGATGCCTACTGTGCTCCCAAACTGTTTGGTGTTGCATGTGACTCTCTGAAAACTTCCGACCTTTATCTTTCCTGAAAACAAGAAACACTTGTGTTTTATTGAATTTTTTTTCATATGTTTGAGAAAGCAAACACAAATGTAATGGGGAATTTTATTGAGTTGTCTTGTTTGTTTTACTTAAGAGAGAGATAACCATTCAAATGGACTGGTGTTAAGTCAATGGGACAAGCCTAGTGACTCTCCCTGGGGAAACTTGGCTTTATAATTGGTATAAATCTGACTTTCGTGTTTTCACAGAGGCCTGAAAGTGTCTAGATCTGTCTTTGTTTAAGTAGCATTAGTTGGGAGCTGTGTCTCTTTTTCTCATGTTCTGAGACAAGAGAAATGATTTTCTTTAGAACAGCAGCAGAATAAGGAATGCTGGTTGAAACCAAGTATTTGTTTTCAAAATTAACTTTTTAAAATAGTGACATTCTACAAATTATAAGCAAAATAAAAACTAGAAGGTAATATGGGCAGAAATATTAAAAAACATTGATGTAGATGGAGTAGAGTAGTTCAGTTGCTTAAGGGAAGCACAATTGTCTGACACAAGAGGAAAATGTCTTCTGTTGACCCAGAGTTTTGTCTGCAATAGTAAAGAGCCCATAAACCACTCTAGCCCGTCAATGTGACTTGTTCTAAAGTGTCCTTGTACCACTGGGAGCCTGGAGACATGGTACATCAGCACAGTAAGATGAATGAGGGAGGACCCAGGTAGAAACTAAGTTCTAGGGAGTTGTTCAGCCAGGAACAGAGTGTGCTGTGATTGGAGGGCTACCTCCTCAGGCAGGGGTCACAGATTTGCTGAATAGCAGAAGACGTTTGGATCAGTAGAGGAGCAGGAATTGTAGATGTGCGTTTAGTAATGTGAAAGATCGGAAGCAAAAGAATCACCTGCTAGATTTTTTAAAAAAATTTATTTATTTATTTGAAATGTAAAGTTACAGAGAGGCAGAGCCAGAGAGAGAGAGGTCTGCATTTGTTGGTTCACCCCCAAAGTGGCTGCAATGACCAGAGCTGGGCTGATCTGAAGCCAGGAGCCAGGAGCTTCTTCTGGGTCTCCCAAGAGGATGCAGGGGCCCAAGCTCTTGGGCCATCCTCTGATGCTTTCCCAGGCCACAGCAGAGAGCTGGATTGGAAGTGGAGCAGCCAGGACTTGAACCAGCACCCATATGGGATGCCGGCACTGCAGGCAGCAGCTTTACTCACTGTGCCACAGTGCCAGCCCCACATGCTTAGATTTTTAAGAACACTCTCTTTTACTGAAGTATGGGTAATGGGAATTAAGGCAAACAAAAATTGAAGTGGAAAGACTACATAGGTGTCCGTATTCTATTCGAAAGATGACAGGTGAAGCTATAGAGAACAAAGGTGACCTTGAAGACATACATAAAAGGATACAATTGAGAGCTATTTAGAAAATGGAATTATTAGGATTTGGTGATTTGTTGGTTCATGAGCGAGGGAGGGAAAAATCCACTATCTTTCCAGAGATTGGATTCTACAACAAGGTAGTT